CTTCATATTTACTCATTTTCTCACACTTTTTCAAAAGTCTCATCAAATAACACAAACACTCCCTTTGCGTATGCATTACAATGAGAATCAAGTTTTCGCAAATCATCCCTCACTCCCTAATAAGTACTTGTAGTTCAGACCATTTCCAGTATATTTTCGATCCATACTTACCTTTAAAATAATTAATTATACGTTTACTGTATCCTCGAAATGGTGAGAGTATGAGTTTGAAAAAAATGTTAGGTAATACAAAATGTAATACAAAATAATAGTAGAAATTGATAGTTTCAACAATTTGACAATACGTTAGGTTTTCAATCTACTATAAGTTTGTGTCATATGGTGTGGAGCTTTTTAAAAAGTGGCAATTAATTTAGTTTTGCACAATTCATAAATTTTACACAATTCATATTTGTCATTCAATATAGTTAACAATATTTTATGCATCTCTTCTGTGGGCTAACTCTGAGTGTCAAAGAAGGGAAATAGAGATATCGGCTGACAATCAGCGCAAAGTCTTAGGCAATGCATTGTTTTTGGTTCGCATACCAGCCATGAGTTTAGAAGACTTTGCTAACGGACCCGCGCAGAGCGGACTTCTCACACTCCAGGGTAACATTGCTTACATATTATAGTCAACTCTAATCTAAGCAATACTTTATTCATTTTATAGAAACTACTGATATATTCCTCAACTATACGGCTGCTGTCAAACCTATACTTGAGTTTCCAACCAAAGCTCGTCTCGGACTCAAAGTCCAGATCTGTCATCGCTTCCAATCGTCTGCCTATCGGAGCAATCAATGGAGATATAGAGGACGCTGTGATTCCATACAATTTAGTGTCGATAAGCGTATATTTGTGGTGGGATTCGGTCTCTACGGGTCGTCGAACGGCGCCGCAGACTATAAGGTGAAGATAGAGTTGAAAAGAACGGGAAAATCACACGAAATATTGGCCGAAAATTTAGTGTCGATAAGCGTATATTTGTGGTGGGATTCGGTCTCTACGGGTCGTCGAACGGCGCCGCAGACTATAAGGTGAAGATAGAGTTGAAAAGAACGGGAAAATCACACGAAATATTGGCCGAAAATCACACGAAATTCTTCTCCGATGGTTCGAGCAATACATTCAACGTCTACTTCGAGCACCCGATTCAGATCGAAGCGGACACCTTCTACACGGCTTCGGCCGTATTGGACGGCCAGGAGCTGAGCTATTTCGGTCAGGACGGGCTCACCGAAGTGACCATCAATGCGAACGTGACCTTCCAGTTCCAGTGCAGTTCCGACAGCACTAATGGCACCGGCGTTCAGGGCGGACAGATCCCAGAGATCATCTTCTATGGACCAATGGCTCACTCTTAGACAAAGTTCATCCCATTGTTAAACCACTCATTGAATCTCAAATGCAAACATCACTACAAAAATGTTGGCTTCGTTTTAGTCATTCTGTATATAACTCTTAGACTATATTTACATTTTATTTTTTAAAATCAA